TTTTTGCAAAGTTATATCACTCTCAGAGATATGAGCGTTCAAAGATGTACAATTTAAGTGAAATGCCCTGTAGCCCAAGTGGCCTTTGGTCCCTGAGAGCGGGGCAACACTTTGGGAAGTGCCGGCATGGCCGGAAGCGAGGAAAGAGACGGGGAAGGCGTGTTGCTTGGGCATGGCGGAGGGCAGGTCGGCTCGGCGAGGGTCGTGGTGCAGCCCTGTTGCAATGATTGGGCCGGGACAGTATTTGGAGCCCCGTTATTGCGTTTTCGCCTTACTGGATCAGGCTGGAGCCCCTTCCAACGCGTCTCATTGATTGGACTGTAATGGGACTGTGATGAGACTGTGATTGGACTGTGATTGTTTCTCCCCACCTGCATGCCACTGCCTTGCCGCTTCTCCATCTGTATTTTATTTCTTCGTATATTTTATATCCTATTGGCCATGAGTGTATTGTCTTGTTTTCAGTGGGAGTGTGTTGTTATCCCCCCTTGAGTGGCCCCATTTACTATTTATCTTTTATAGGCCTCAGCTTTATTGTCTTTTATAAAAACTCCATTGAAAGTTTTAAATAGATATTATCAGGTTTAGAGAGGGACTGATCTTTTATTGAACCACGCCCTCGGTGCAACTGAGATTCCAACGACACCTGGAATGGGCCACCCACATGGGTTGGCTGGGTAGGCGTCACACATGCGCGGCTTTCCGTCTGGGTCGGGGTGCCAGTCTACACCTAAAACTTCCAGTTCCCTTCCATCCCTTGCGGATGACGGATCCATAGTAGACAATAAGAGAGAGTGGTTGCTCGCGGCCGCGTAGACAGGGTTGCTGGGCGTAAGCGTGGAATGCCGCATCTAGCATCCTGCATCTCCTCCCATCTCCATGCGACGCGGACGCGAGGATTGTCGAAAACATATCTAGTTGTCAAGGTCTTTTCATACAGGCCAATGAGAAGTTCAATGACAGTTAATATTTATTTAAACGTTGGATGGTCAGGATGCGGCGAAGGTGATTCCAGAGGTATCAGGGCCAGTGGAATGGCAGATCAGTACCTGGGCTGGTACTCCAGTTCAGTGCTTCGCAACCGGTGTGCCGCGACGAAGTCCCCGATATGCCGCGGTATTTTCGGAATTAAAGGAAAAGAAAGAACACAATTGTGTTGGATCGAGCAAACTCGAAAGTGTGCCGGGAAATAAAAAAAAAGGCTGCGAAGCACTACTTCCTAGTTCCTTATTCGAACGAATCCGTATAGTCACGACCTTCGAAATGAAGAAGCGTCCAATCGTCCTCTACTCGATTGCAAGGGAACCCGGAAGCAGCTTCGTACGTGCTCATCCTCCCAAGACGTCGGAGGCGATGAGGTTGGCATTCGCGTGCTGCTCTTGCACTGCGGCGGTCGATGCGCGCTTCAGCGAAGATGTGGGGTCTTTCGTGGTCGTGTGGGTTCCGGCTGTATTTCGTGGGCGTGGTTGTCCGTGTCAGTGGATTCCTTGGGGAGTCTAGCTTCTTTTTTATTATAAAGCATTTAAAGGGCTAAAGGTTGTCGAGGGTGGGGGTGGGGGCTTTGAGCATCCTCTTCAATTTTTACGTAATAAAACTTTTTTTAACTTGGCATTCCTACTTGATATGTCTGCTCAACAAGATTCCTGTTTCTGCCTGTCCCTTCGTTCGGTAGATAAATCCTTCCAACTGAGCACTGTCAGATTTGAGTTGGACCTTTCTCGAAGGTTCCACGAGAGGAAGCAAAGGTCACACTCGGGAGACAGATTCCTCGACATCAGATTCTCATCCGAAGACGTTTGGAGATGAAGAACCTGAGAAAAGTCAGCCTCCGGGTCCACGGCGTCGTGGGAGATCTTTTCTTCAAGTATGGAAACTCCTCATTCCCATTTTCCAAATCGAGCGATCCGAGTCGCGTTTTTGCACGGATAAAAAAAAATGCCTTCATCTTCAATCCTTTACTTGACCGATGAGGAATCTCGCTAAGAAAGTCAAATCCAAACTCGCCAGTAATCGCTTTGCAATTTTCCTGACAGCATGGCAAAGATTCCTGTGATACGGACTTTTGCCCTTCGTTCAAATCTTCGCACGCGCGGCGTGTGGAACGACTGGCGTACGTCTGAAAATGTGTCCCCTAATTGAGGTCATTTCAATTAGTAAATTGTGACTGGCAATTTCCAGTAATGGACAATGATTGGCAATTTCCAAAAATGGATTGAAAATTGGGGAAATTTGGATAGCTGTTCATATAACGCTTTACTCCGGTTGAGAGAGACGCACGAAAAACCTGACGAGTTGAGCAACGTTTTCGTGCTCCTAAACGTGCTTGTGATAAGCGTTTAAAACGGCAAGATCTTCTACCTTTTGAAACATTTTCTAAATATTTCAAAAATTTTTCTCAGCATGCAAGCTTGTTCAAAAAGAAATTCTGTTGCGTCAGAGGAACTACGCTATCTCTATTCGTCAAACTTTTCACCTAAGTCAAACACCTTAAACTTGCCGATATCTCCCTCACTTGGACAATGCATTGTCTCAAGAGAGCAATTCTTCGAAAAGTTTGGTACCATCATGACGGTTCTCCCACTAGAAAACCGGCAATTTAACAGAATTAACAGATTTCCCCGAATTAAAATAGTTCAGCTGACTATAGCGAAGTAAATAAAGTCACAAGACTCACTGGCCACGACGGAGGAGATTGAGCCCGGTGACAGCCTCCACAATGTCGACCTCCCAGCAGTAATCTTCCCGTCTTCCATCCAGGTTCGGCTGCCTATTGGCGCGCAGACCGTGGACGTTCATCCTCGCCTCTGTCATCCTTTCGTCGTGCCTCATTTCGGGGATCCTTCACTGGCGAGAGGAGGAAGGAGGAACCGTGAAAGCCTGGTTCGCCCCGGGGACTCCTCTCTATCGAACTGATCGATGGATCAAGAAAAACTTCCCGAACGGAGTTCGGTACGAAACAATTATCCTTTCTGGACCTGATATCCTCACTCCGGAATACTTCAAATATGTAAGACCATGCCACAACTCTTTAATTCAGTTCCTAATTTTCAAAATGTGGAATGAAGTCCTTATTCTCTGGATTTTCTTGCAGATGGGGACCCTGGACAAGAAAATTCGATCCTTGGTATCCAATGGATATGCCTGGGAGGACGTCTGTGCTAGGTACAGTGCGCTATCAGAAACAAACTTTGTACTATGAATGCTATTTAAAAAAAGTCATACGAATTTTGCAAGTGAATGGGAGAAATGTCGACAATGCGATGATAGTGAAGTCGAGTGCTTGCCTGTTTGTTGCACGTGCTTGCGACAGATGAACGTTTCTATGACTCACGCAGGCCAGAGGAATTCTTAGAGGGACACAAAAAGATGGAAAGAAAGCGAAGAGATACCGAAGCTCAAAGTCTTTGGCATGCAGAGGACCGACGACTCGACCCAGTCCATGGTATGCATTTTGACCTATGAGTTATAATGCTTCTTTAAAAGCCACGTCGACAAAGGGAAATAAGAATGAATGGTTTGTTGAAATATTTATGCCATGTTTGTTCTCTATCTTTGTTGCGTGAATTTCGAAAGCACTTTCAAAATATCATGATTTCACTCATCACTTTAGGGGAAAATAGCACTCGTGACGATGTAGTGCCGACTACAGAATCAACAAGCAGCCAATCACAAAAGACAGCAACAGAAATGAGCAGTGATTCTACTGGTACCATGGAACCGGAAATGTCACTACTACCAATATTGATATCATCCTGGACAGCAGAGAATCTAGAAACAACGAAAGAAAATGACACGACGACGACACCTACAACAGAGACAACAACAGCAAGGATCAGTCAAGCCGAAGTTGATCGAGAAGGCGATTCTAAAGAACTCTTCCAGTACGACGATTACAATTACGGCTGGAAGGAGGATCCGGACGCATTGGAGGTATTCCGAGGCGAGGAGGATGGAAGAACTCTGTACGATGATCGATGCATCTATTCCAGCACTCTTCAACTGTGGGCGGAAGATTTCGACTTCAGCACTATCACAACGACGAAGATCCAGGACAAAGTTACTCGAGCCCTTGACGACGAGTGAGTTGAGGAATGAAATCATTCTAGTTTTGCTAGTGTGTCACTTAAAAGGAACAAATTTGTATGTTTTGACTTTTTTTTATATGTGCTCCCTCACTTCGAAAATTGTGGGAGGGGGATGGCAACTATTCTCCTCAGGAGCCACATTGAAAAATCATGTAGAGGAGATTCCACCATAATTGAAAATTTCGGAATCATAATGCATATTTCAGGGGAAGAATGGATCTGCATAGTTATTCGGGAAGCATATTGTGTTTATGTTCCTTCTGAGTTGAGGTTTATTTGAGACTGTGGTCTAGCGAGAGGGGGGGGATGGGACGGGTCGGAGTGCAAGTCGTCGGTGGGGTGGGGCACTTGAGGGAAATAAACGTATAGGTACGTCCATTCTCCGGAAAGGTTAACCCCTTGAGCTATTTAACCCCTTGAGCACTCGGTGCTCAAGGGGTTAAATAGCGATCAGTCTTTCTGTTTATAATATGACAATGGAAATGAAGATATTTCCGAAGAAGTCATGGAAGGAAGACTTCCAGTCAGAACCAGGGATTTCTGGCCTTTTTTCATTTCTACTGATAGCGCCTCTATCTCACAATCACACGCATTCCAAGCCACTGGTATCTTCTTGTGTGCCGCAAGTCACAGGCTATTTTAGCACGTAACGATCTCAATGCACCGCCCCTCCCCGAGGGATTTTCGTCGACCGAACGGCTTGGCAAGGCTTGCACGTTACCGATATGCATCGGAATTCTATCTGGATGCATCTTTCCCTTGGAATTAAGATATCCAAGGACGAAAATCGGAAAAAATGCATCCTCAAGATGTATATTTCCTATTTTCCGAATGCATGTGTGCATAACAACGAAAAGAATTTCATAATCGAGAGGCACAAGCAGGATTCTGGAATTCATATCATAAATAGGTCACGGAATGACGTGAAGGGGATGTTGTCTGGGGTGGAGAGAGACGAAAGCGGAAGAGTCGTGGGTGCAGCGGCCGTCATGTTCGTCTACATCCTTAAAGACCGGGCAAATGCCACCAACAGAAAGGGTCAACCGGTTAGTGCTTCTGAAGTTATAGATATTGCGCGTTCTATGCTCTCATTCTTTAGATTCCATCCTCTACCCAACCCATTTCCCATACTCCAATTGCACTCGACCTTGAAAAATCCACGTGCGGCTATTCATAGGGGCTCAGTGGGCTCGAGCCCCTCAAAAATTTAGCAGTAGGGTCTCACAGCGAGGAGAGCCAGGACATGAGAAATATGGAATACTTGTAAGAGTACTGTCTCTGAGGCCCCCGATATTTCTCAACAAATCGCCGCCTAAGGAAAAATCACTGAGAATTTGCAAAACCAGCGTAAAAATTCAACTCCCATAAATTACAGGAACTTGGAAACAAAGGTTTTTGGGTTTGTTGTGACACTTGGGGCGTCTTTCCATGCCAAGAATTAATGTTTCGATAACGATCTCCATTAGAGAATGCGACTGGATAGCGATGAAGAGAAATGTAAGGCCGAATCATGTGTGCGAGTTTCATGGTGTCCAGGAATTGACTGAACGTGAGGAATTTCGCATCTGGCCCTGACCTAGGCCTCTGCTACCTTCCCTCAGTCTGATGCGCGAGTTCGAGAAGACTATGTTCAGAGTGGCCATAGCCCATGGACAAAGCGCAAAAGTTATGTTCAGTCGATTCTGGGACACCCTGTTCGAGGGATCCTGTTGTTCTCTATTTATTGTGATACGGCCATTGTCGCGATGCGCCTCGGTATGTCAAAAGAAGAAATGTCGACATGGAAGTAGTCGATGGCAAAAAATTGAGATGGAGACAATGCAGAATTGTAGGAATTTGAAAACCGATTTCAAAGGCATTACCATTCTTCAACCTCAACCTCACCAATGATTTTTTAATTTAATAATTTTACATTAATGATTTTTTACTTCTTCAACTGTCTGGGTGTTTCAAACTTTTGATGAGTGACGATCATCCAACTCATCTTGTGACAATTGAGATGCGTCTGTCTCCCATCAGGTCGATCTGATCGCAGAGCCGTGGGAGGAGAAATTCCTCGAGTTGGTGTTCCACAACGACCTCCCCAAACCTCCAGGCTTGAAGACTTATGCCAATGCAGACCGCAGGTAGGATGCGCTTCTCGGTTCTTCTCGGGCGAGACATGACTAGCGTCTCAAATGCCAACCTCGAGCTGTTTCGAATAGCTTTCGAGATGGGATCGGAGATATTACGGAGAAGAACATGATCTATTTCGCTCTTGGTTTCGTGCTCATCACCATCTACGTGGCCATCAACATGGGGAAATTCAATCTCCTTGAACAAAGAGTGAGTACCTGCAGTCGAATATTTCTTCATTTCCGTATTACATATTTACCAATATATGTTCATTTCATGTGTACCGTATGTAAGTAATCAAATGGCGTCCTCTAAGGGAGGACAGAAGTAGTCACCTGATTTGATTACGTCTGACCTCCCTTAGAGGACAAAACAGTCACTTAATTTGATTGTTTTGTGCGTTGAAGACGAAAGTGATGACTTGCATTTACTGAGATTAATGTTAATGCGGTCCATAAGTCCGATTCGGTAATCATGCACATGACTCAAACGAGGCTGAGAGGGACTGGGAGGGACTGAGAGGGACTGAGAGGGATTAGAAATCAGCTTCCCAGTACAATCTTGTATTTCGACGATCTAGCTATTTCTTTGAGCCAGAAAATCCGGGTTTCGTCTATTACTTCTCGAACGTCCTTATTCCGTTTTTTTTTTTAAGTTTCAAGGGCATATTTTGCTAAAAATTGCATCGGTCGTTCCAAAGTAACGAAATTTACCTCCGAAGAAAACTTGAGATGCTTGAGGCGATGCTTCTCATTTTCTGATGGGCAGGAGGTAAAAGTAGTTTAAACTATGAAAAACTTTTGGGGAAAAAATCCATGCGTGATGAAGTACCCTCAAACCTAAAGAAAAAAAATCAAGCAACAGGAAGTAGTAGAGAAATCTTGAAATTTGAATCTGGAAAAAAGTTTGCAAGAGAAGGACAAATCGAGGAAAGTTTCAATGGCATGGACGAGGCGATGTGGAGAGAGATATTTGTTTTCTACCAGGTAATTGTCAAATGCTAAATCTGTATTGCATGACTCAGATATAATTTAAAGATTAATTAAATGCTTCATGATGCTTCATAAGTGCTTCATGACATTGAATGGCAAAAATTCTTCACATATTGCTAAATATGCCTTGAATGCGCAACAAATCCACAAGATTCCTCTTATGGAGGCTTTCTGATGGTATCTCACATTAATTAACGGTGTATTTTTTTTGTTGCACCTCAATGTACCTTATCAATGTTTCCTATTTAGGTCTACTTGGGCCTGGCCGTGGTGCTCTGCATCGGGCTGACGATTGTGAGTGCGGCTGGGTTGTGCCTCTCCATTGGGTACATCCCGACGGAGATTCACAATCTGATGCCTTTCCTCATCCTCGGGATCGGCATCGACGACTCGCTCGTCATCATCCAGGTGACTCGCAGCGATCTCCATGTGACTCGTTACGACCTCCGTGCGTCTCTAAGTCTCGTCTCTCGCGAGGTTTTCGTCCACTCGTGCTGCTTGAGGTATGAATGAAGGGAAAAGCCTTGCAATGCGGCTCCGTGATGATTGAAGCGATGTACGATGACGTTTGAAAATTTTTTACTTAAAAGAATAACTTCATAACTATTTCTTCAGGATAAGGCCCCATCGCAACATTCAGCGTCCTGTTCTTCTGTCAAATTTGTTTGAAATCAGTCAGGATTTCAACTTCCAAGGAGAACAAAATCTCACAACTGACTATAGAAAGAAAAGCAGGGGTTTCAGATGTTTGTCAAGAATTGCCATTCATGGATGATGCCGGATTTTATTCTACTCTAATACTAGCACATCTCATACTCTCGCAGGAATTAAATCTTGCGAGAGTATGAGACGTCAAAATTGTATTGTCTGATGAGCTTGATAAGATCGATGAAGGAGGTGTAAGGCACCATGGCACGCAAAATAACAAAATAATAATTTCGGTAGTATTGGTGTGTAACAATAATACTATCTGGTTAATCGAACTAACAATCCTCACATTAACAGTGCAGCGACATTTTCTTCCAACCATTTCCTTTCTCATTAATGATACCCAAGCAGCGTGTACCCAGTGAGCCAGGGGCTGACATGTATCTGCTGGAAGGCGGCTGGTAGCCGCCAGGCCACATCATCAATTATATTGATGAATGCGTCAACGGTGTTGAAGGAGGCGAGGGGGGGTGGGGGGGGCTAGCGAGGGGAACATGCGGCAGATGGCCCACAACTTGGCTCAGGTGATCGACCACCGGCTCTCTTCCCATAACGAGGCTAGCATTTTCCCCTTCCACGTTTTACGAGATGAACCCTGCCCCTACTGGATGGCATACATGCTCCTCTAGAGTCTCGAACGCAAACCCACATTGCTGACATAGGAAAAGAAATCCCTTCTCCTTTTTTCTTTTTATGTGATTCATGGACAAATATGAGAAAGTGGAATCAAATTTCTGATCGCAATATAAGATTCTGGAAAATAACATGTTGAAGTTCCTTATGAAAACAGAAGTGCAAAGAGTGTAGCCTAAAAAATATTCCAGTTAGCTGTCCAATTTATTCCTTGCACAAGATGTACACTAAATTTTCCGCTCTCGTCATTCATTTCAGCCTTTGTATGAGGATGGATTAGCTTTCAAAAACAATATCTACTGGTGCCCATAATGAGACTAGAAGGAGGAATTGAATGTTTTTCTTCAAGCTTTTCCCCCCCATATAATTCCTACACTTGGGAATGTGGTGAGTCGTTAGCGTGTCAGAATACGGCAGTTGGTAGCCCTCAACCTAGAAAGGGTATGTTCCCTTCAGCTCTCTTTCCACAACGTAGCCAGCGACTCACAAAATACATACTACTTGGGTACATATCTACATGGATTATTGCCTTGAAATAAAAATTCGATGGACGTAACCGGAAAGCGATGTTGCTGTAGTGCCTGGAGAACGTGGTGTCAAAAGAAAGTATTTTGAACCCGGAGGAACGAGTGGGAGAAGCGTTGAGGCAGGCTGGAGTCTCCATCACCATCACGTCCATCACGGACGTCTTTGCCTTCGCCATTGGAGCCACTACGGTCTGTTTGCATCATTGTCTTCTCGGCGTCTTTCACTGGTGTAATGATTGGCAGCGGCCCAATCTTATCGGGTGAATTGTGCTACTTACTTCCTACTCTTCTTAAATGCCAACGAATATGTATTCGAAAAATTGTGTGTCCAAACCGCCTCACAAAATCTTTCACTCCTGGTGTAAAAAGGTACCTAGAATGCCACAACGAGATCCCAGCTGGTATATATAATTCATATCGCATATGACTTCTTATCTGTCATGATACTCTTCAACTTCTGGAAGTGTTAGTCGAACCAGAGTGCCTTCTGTACTCGTAGAGCTCTTGCTGGCAAGAAGTAGGCAAATCTCTGATATTTTTCTGATACTGAACTGCATCCAATTCAGGAAAGCGGCCTTCGTTTGACAGGCAGCTGCTGAAGTAAGCGTGGATTTCAATAATTCTGCCGGGCTGTAGCAGTAATAACTTGCTTATAACACAAAGTTAGCATAAGTTGCACACGCTTAGTGTTCGCCTTGATATTGAAAAACCTTGAGGCGGTAAATAGCTTGGCTAATCTCTCGCTAATATATCAATGTAGACATTACCCATCAATTTACGAAGAAATTGGGACTTTTGCTAGGATTGAAAGGAAAAGCAAAGCGGACTCATTCTGAATTTTTAGACAAAAGGAGGGAAAAGCACATTGACGCATATACGAACGTGCGACAAACGATTTAAATGCAGGAATTAATTGCTGCGGGCATTTGTGAATGAAAGTAGTCACAAATACACGTACGCACCATCGATACTAAATTCTCCCAGGGAAATATACAATCAAAATTAACCCCAGGGAGCTGAAGATGTTCGCATTTCTGACATGCGAAGCTTCCCGGACAGTGGGCGTCGAGTACTTCTTGCGCACAATGAAAAAAAAAGAAATCAGACGCACGAAAGGAACAGTTTCAGGCATACGCTCTTAAAAAGCAACTTTTGCGTGACTTTACGCAGACGTTACCCCGGCGTTAATTCGGCGTTTGAAAGGTTTCTAGGGGTGCGGAACCTTCGCGGTGATTTGAACCTCTCTACATAAATGTTAAAAGATAGTTGCCGAGATGTCGTCACTTTCGATTCCTAAACTCTACAAAGATATTTCAATTGGGGAAGAGAGTCAGTTGGAAGAGGAAAAACTAGGAAATCATATATATCGTATTGTGGTCACGTGGCTGGGTTCACCCGTCAATATCGGGATGTCCGCGTGGCACAAGGTCCCTCTCGGACCACATGCTTCCTCGTCCTTCAGGGTGGAAGGTTGAAAATCCCTATCTCTAAAGAATGTTCATGGGACGAGGGCAATGTCTTTAATAAATGGTTAATTCCAAATTCATTAAGCGATCTGGTGTCACGGGAACTGACTTGACTTTTAGGCATGATTCGAAATGTCTAAATGTGACAAAAGCAACATGGATAACTTTTGAAAGACGTAACTTTTTGATAACCTTCCCTTTTTTACGTTAGAAGTAGCTTCGATTTCAATGGTAGAAACTTGGTAATTTTCTAAAATTTAGTACTGGTTACTCAAAGGTTACATGTATAAGAGTGCAGCTTTCTGACGTTGCATTGACATGACGATTCCGTGATATGATAATTCCACGTTTCTGACGGGTATTCCCTTTGTCTTAGAAGTTACTTATACAGGGTGTCCCATAATTGACTGAAGATGAGGAGGTTTCCTGCCCAAGTCCCTCTGATTTAGATCTCTGCTACTTTAGTATCAGGCGCGAGACCTACATGAATATGCTCTTCTAAGCCAAAAAGACTGAGTACAAATCCTATCTACTAGGTACAGTCATTTCTAAAAAGGAAATGTTTCACTTCATCATCATCGAATGATGATCATGCGGCCTGCAGCTAGAAATATTAAGAACTATGTCGATTCCGAATGTCATGATCCTTTCTGTTCTTCAGAAGATTCCACAAATATTGATGTTTACCATCCGACCAGAGAGTACCAGTGCTCCGGAGCTTCTGCATCTACACGACCGCCGGGATTTTCATCGTCTACGTCATGACCTTGATATTCATGGTCCCGATTTTGTCTTTGGACGAAAGGCGACGAGACAGCGGGAGGGAAGGATGCTTGTGCATTCGCTTGCCAGGCGACTACAAGAAGAACAGTTGTTCCCAAAAGCTCCTGCTCGAAGCCATTTTCCGCAGGATCTTCGGGCCATTGCTCGTCAAAACTCCAGTGAAGGTTCGTCAACTTCACACTTTCGAATGGACAGAAACATTCGCAATTTCATAAAGTTGTAGTGATAGTACAAGTGAATGTCTTGCAGGTAGTTGTGGTGCTACTTACGATGAGTCTCTTGGGTCTCAACTGTTGGGGATTGTCTGGGTTGAAGAACGACTTCGACAGAAACTGGTTTTTGAATCCAGGATATCAGAGAGACTTCGTGTCCGCTGTGCAGGATCTCTTTCCAGAAAGCGGCTTTAGAGCTGACTTTTATCTTGGTGAGTCTATAGGGACATGCAATGCCGATTAGATGTAGTGAATTTATCAATGAGAAAGGAGTCTTTGGCAGGGAATACGGATTACTTCAGGGAGAAAGAAGCACTGGAAGGGTTATTCAATAGACTGTCGGCTCTTCCAGGGATAAAGAATGGATCTATTGAATTCTGGCACCACTCTTTCCTGGAGTATCTCAAGGAAAAAAAAGGCAAGCCTATCCGAATAATGAATGTTTAACTAAATAATAGCCTAAATAAAACCTAAATATTGTTTCACTTGTTGGAGCGATGAACCACCCTAAGAAAATTTCACCTGGCTCGCAATACATGTGCGCAAATGGGTAGGTATATTTCCACCAGGGGGGGAAGTTTATTTTGTTCAAAATGCACTACCTATCCACTTAGATGTTCAAGTAAGTGGTTAAGGGGTGTACGTTTTTTAGAGGGTTACCCAAGCAACTTCGGTAGTGGGACCGCTGAGAAACAGACTTTAAACTCAGCTCAACACTCACTTGCGAAACTGTCATGTAGTAGGGTCTTGTGGGGAAGGGGCATAGCCCGTTGACTTGTCTTGAAATTTTGGGGGATTGCGCGAGAAGGGTTTTTCTCCTTTTTGCATGGAAACACGTTGAAAAGGCTGTGCAAGCGGCCAACTCTTGGTAATCCGAACATGAAATAGCCGGCGATTTAGTCTGGATTTTCGAGAACCTTATTTTCTCTTTTCTCGGTTTCGCTTCTCCGCCCTGGACCGACAAGGAGCCATGAGAGAATATTGATTGGATAGGAGGAAATGAAAAACGTGTGAGATTCTAATGTTTCTCGGCCTTGGAATCGATTTGTTAAGGAGTGACACTACGTGCCAGAAATTCGGCCAGGCAGGGCTGAAAAAGGAAACCCATGCAGTCAGGTTGAGTGCCGAATGGTGAATGGACAGTTAGCTTTCGCTATAAGGCCACAGCTGACCCGATTACCATTATATCTAAATAGAATTTGCGAGAATTCCGTCAGGTGATGTGAGTTATATTTTTCAGAGGACTATCCGAACACCGAAGCAGCATTCGAAGACAAGCTTTCCACCTTTCTGGTCTTCACCAACAAGGGAAGGAAATTCATACGCGATCTTCAATACACCGGGAACCTCTTAACGGACTTCAACCTCACAGTGAGTGCATGCTGTAAATTGACGAGAGAATCGTCGTTTGGATCGCGAAGCTATAGAATGTGTATCGTCCCGTTCAGGCTTCGAGAGGTAGATACCAACACATTTATTTCAACACCGGGGACGAAAAACGACAAGGACTCCGCGAGGTGGAAGAGGTTCTCCACGGAGTCCAATTCAAGGGGAGAGATCCATTCAGAGGAATCCTCACTGTAGAGTACCTCGTCATCCGATCGAACGAGGCAAGCGGTTTCCGCACTTTTCCGAGGGCGCATCTCCATGGTTCGAGTGAAACTTTTTCCCCACGTCCACGTAATTTGTATGCAGCATTCGAATGTGCCGGAGTACGATTTACAGGGACAGTGTCTTTGCGATGTGCTGAATGTCTATTGGTCCAGTTGGATGTCATGGTCGTGAGTTGTGTTCGAAGAAATAGTTCCATACGGTTTCTTCAATTTAAGGTTACAACCTATTTCCGTTTTTTAGAATATTTTATTCGTATTCATTTTTATTCATTCATTTTTCATTCAGTTACTCTTAATTACAAATTTAGGTGAAGCTATGTGCATTTTTTGCATTCTTGGATCGAGCAGAATAGAGAGAAAGCATGCTTTGGGTTTACTTTTTTCTCTTCTTTTGGGTTGCATTATATTACCTGGTTTCAGCATCGGTGGGCACCATAACTGAGTTTCTGTTGGTCTTTTCAAATTTCCTGTATTCTGACGGCAATATTTATTCCCGTCTCAACGCGAAACAGTTGGAAGCTCGTTCCTTTGCACCGTCACCCCATTTATCAAATTAAGAGAAACTAACAAACTTTGTAACGAACTGCCAGCTACATCAATTGATAAAATTGCTCGTGTCACAAGAGTGGAAATGCACGAAGTGATAATATCTCATTATAAAAAATGGTCAATAAGTGAGTTCACCGAACGACTTTCGGCTATTCTAATTTCTTTTTAACTTAGGTTTGTTACTTATGTCAAGTGATATTTTTGTTGCTTTATTTAAGATCTTATTAATGATGAAATTACCGATGGGGCACATGGACTTACCAAAAGTTAAAGAACTCTAATCGTTGTTCATTAAACGGGTACACTTAAGGATCTCGCTTCACTTTCCTCTTGATTCCGACGGCCAGATGCGAATGAATGCGGTATAGATCGGTTATGACTCGTATTGGCTTCAGCAGACTTAATGGAGATGCTGAATGGCACACTGGCTGTGCTGTATTGTGATTTGCATGTTATTCCAAAGGTTGTATCAGAGGAGCTGCTGAGGAATCTCGGGCTGACTTTGGTCGGAGTGTTCGGGGTGACATTGGTGCTGATTGGAGATCTGCAGGTCTCTATTTGGGTTTTCTCCTGCATTCTATTCACCCTGATCGGAATCGCAGGCAGCATGCGATTCGCCGGTCTTACCATCGAGCTCATGTCGTCAGTTCTTCTCATCTTGTCTGTCGGCTTGGCGGTCGACTATTCCACGCATATCGCTCACAATTTCTTGGTCACTCATGGCGATTCTAAAGACGGTACTGGAAGCGCTCTAGTTCTGAGAAGAGCTCTGCTCTGCTGAGAAGTAGCAAATATAATGTTTTGTTCGTTTCATAGACCGAGTGAGAATCACCTTGGCAGAAATTGGTCCTCCCGTTTTCAATGGAGGTTTTACGACAATGATGGCTTTTGTGTTTTGTCTTTGGAGCGAAAATTATCTCTTCCATATTACCCTCAAGGTGAGTTTCTATATACCAACCTCGCAATAATTTGGTAACTAATGTGCTTTGAAGCATACCAGCAAAAGCTTTATTAATGGTTTTTGCGGCAGGTTATCTGGTTTTCGGTGATATATGGGTTGTATCACGGATTGGTTTACCTGCCGGTGATGCTGAGCTGGTTCGGTCCACAACCTTTTGTTGGCTTGCTGCATTCAACCAAGAATAGCCCTGCCCAGAGCGGCCTCGATCCCGGTCTAGGGGAGGCTCCAGAGAAGCCTGACGCCGGAAAGACAAATCCCTCAAGCCTCAAGGTAACTGCAGTGTTAGATTTCTATCAACTTAAGGTGGTATAATAAACAAAGTTCCCAGCAACAACCATGATATTTAAGGGACTTTCACTCCCGGGAAGAAATTTGCAGTGGCGCATTTGGTGGGGGAGGGTAGAGGTGAGGGGATGCTGAGTGTGGGAGTGAAGGAAGGTTTTTCAATACTTGGTAAAGAAGAGAGTCCTGACCGCTGAACTCTAAACCCCTCTTGGTAGTGCTAAGGTGCCCTGCCATGTTCAAGCAATTAAGAGAAAGTTTTCCATGCTTCGATTTATCATTTGGATGTTACATTACCATTTAGATGTTCAATTATTAACATTATTGGGGAATTTTTCCGAAAAAAAGGCAAATTAGTACATTTCTAAACGTTCCGTCTGCATTGAAATTCAGTCGATTATGGTTTGAAGGCTGTCTAGTGTATTAATCTGTTCTTCCAGAGAAAACTTGTCTGGAAGAACAGCAGAGGGGAGTATCCGATCGGAAATCATTCAAGACGGATGGCGAAGGGGGAAACTGCAGGGAAGGAATCGTCTTCCGTCTCTCCAAGTCGTAATGAGATCGAGTCCTGCGCTGGGACGTATCGCCTTCGGCTTCCCAGTATCAGCTGACTTTCGTCTGCTTCAAAAGCCCATCTGTGATGTAATCTTCCGTGACTGCGAGCACCATCGAGACGCTTGCAGTACAAGCTGGGAGTTCAGGGGAGATCCCGGCGGGGAGGCTTTGGGCTTGTTTTCATTTCCCGTGTTAATCTTGTAACGTGTGCAATGCTTGTGCTTTGAGACATTCTGGAAATCTATTACTCTCCGTGAAAGAACATAATGTGAACATGACTGTTAATCTCTTTCAAGTCCCCTACTTCGTGACACACGTCAATTCAGAATGACAGGAATCAGAGATAAGGCATTATTCTTACTTACTGCGTACAATAGTTATCGGTTGCTTCCCAAATTTCATTTTCTGTCTCATTCCTTCTTCCTCGTCATTAGAAGGTAAATTCGAAACAAAAGAGCTGTGGGAAATCGTCGGTATGGGGAAAGTTTTAGCCGTGGAATGTTCCCTTTGGCCTTCCTTGGACGTCGAGGACAGAACTTCAAAGACGACGACGATGAGAGGGACGCTGTGTGGACGTGACTCCGCAGACGCGACAAAATGTGCGACAGCAATGGTATGCGCGCTCTAACAAATCATGGAGACAGAAAAAATAACAAAAAAATAACAAAAATGTGCAACATCAAATATGAAACACATCGGAACGTGATCACGTCCACTTGTAAAAGCCGAAGCAAAGAACTCGTGGAGGATCGTGATCATTGTTTTGCTCTCTGCAACCTTGAAGAATGTGTGTTAAGGCTAGACGGAGGACATTGGGGCATTGGACGAGGAACTTTATGTGAGAACGTCTTCCCTATGAGTCGGTCGGCACAGTCGTGAGTTGACAATGTGGGTGACTCTCATCCGGTAGTAGTAGGTCATTAGCCTACCTATCCCATAATAGATTCATTTTAATTGGTTTATTGTCAGTGGTATCTCATGGCAAGTGGAAAATATGAGGATTCCCTTAACTGAAAGGAGGCCCATTGCTGGACTGGGCTTCTTACCTCAGAGTTCTACTTTGCATTCCTGAAAGTTGTAGACGTGGAATGTTCTGTTCGGCCAGCTATGGACGTCGAGGACAGAACTTGAAAGACGACAACGATGAGAGGGTCGCTGTATGGATATGACTCCGCTGACGCGACAAAATGTGCGACAGCGATGGCATGCACACTCTAACAAATCAAGGAGACTAAGAAAAACAAAAACAAGAAAACAAAAAAAAAGAATGCGCATTTACCTCTCAGGGTAAAACCGCCTAAGTTCGGACACAGCTGCAAACCTGTTCCAAAAGTAAACATTCGCGGGCCGCCTTCAGAAATGGTTCTTTTTGACATGAGATGAACGCGTTACTGAGGGAAGGAAAAGCGGTGGTGACTTTGCACGATTCCAAGATATCGGGCTTAGGCCAATGTTACATCGCGAAAGGGAGGAATTCAAGAAACCGAGAGAACCTTGCTTTTAAAACGCTTCACATGTGAATTTTTATTTCTGTGCTCAATTTTTACTTGCCAGGAAACTAGGAGGACATGGATTCCTGTTACGCAGAATGCACATGCATTGATCAGTCCTACTTTCGGTGTGTCCGAACATTGGTCAAGAAATATCTGGGAAAGTTCGGACTTGCATTCATGTGTGTCATATCTACAGAAACATAAAGTCCTATAGGGATAAAGAACGTTTAGATTAGACAAAAGCTCTGTTTAGTCATGCCTTTCAGGGACCATGTATTTTTGAGCTCTGTCTGAGTTTCAAGCTTATTTGAGACTTAAAAAAGAGGGTGTCCGAACTTAATTTTTTCCGCATCTAAGTTCGGAGATCCACATTAGAGGCAATATCGGTAGTCATAAGGGTAGGAAGGACGACATCTTTATAACACTCAGACCTCCTAGTGTCTTGCTCCCAGGAGAAAAAAAGGAAACTTCCCACTTCCACCGTTGAGATGGGACGAGCGAATGAGACTCAGTCGGCTTAACTCTCCGAACATTGGTGGTTTATTACTCCCCCCTTCCTCTTGTAACCTCGACACGAATCGGAACGTCATCGGGTTCGCTTGTAAAAGCAGAGGCAAAGAAATCGTGGAGGATCGTGATCATTGTTTTGCTCTCTGCAACCTTGAAGAATGCGTGTTAAGGCTAGACGGAGGACATCGTGGCATTGGACGAGGATCTTAATGTGAGAGCGTCTTCCCTATGAGTCGGTCGGCACAGTCGTGAGTTGACAATGTGGGTGACTCATCCTGTAGTAGTAGGTCATTAGCCTACCTATCCCATAATAGATTCATTTTAAGTGGTTTATTGTCAGTGGTATCTCATGGCAAGTGGAAAATATGAGGATTCCCTTAACTGAAAGGGAGGCCCATTGCTGGACTGGGCTTCTTACTTCTGAGTTCTACTTTGCATTCCTACTTCATGTGTCTGTTACACAAGTTTCCAATTTTTTGCATGTTTTTTTTTCTGTCAATAGATGGACGCTTCCGACTGAGCTCTTCCGGATCGACTCGTCTCAGAGGTTCCATGCGACGAAGAATAAAGGGATTTGCACTTGAAATTAGATTGTCATCTGGAGTCGCATGAAATGAAATTGCTGATCCTGAGAAGAGTGAGTCTTCGGGTCCACGCCGTCGTTGGAGATCTTTTTTTCAAGTAAGAAATCTGCTACTTTCCACTTTTTAGATATTCGCAATTAATTTTGGGCGTAGTAATATGTCTACTTCGCGAAAAAAAACGCCTCACGTGCCGTCATCTTCCTTTACTTGGTTGATGAAAAATCAACAGAAAAAACAAATAATTAACACCAGCCAGTAATTTGGAGGACTTTGATACTTTCCTGACAAAAGTGGCGGTGATTCCTTTGAATTGGATAGCAGCCGTTTGCTCAAATCTTGGCAAATCTCTGACAAAAGTTCGCAATCACTAGTGTGCGTTTGAAGATGGAGGCGATTTCCAGTTATGGATTGACAAGTATGATGAATTGGGGAAATACGGCAGGAATTCATGTTCTTTCGCTTCAATCCTGTTGAATGAGATACGCGAAAATTCTGATGATTCGCCAATGTTGTCTTGTAGTAATCCTTCCTGTCACGAGGCTTACATTTATTTTTTGTTCTTAATCGTGTTTCTATTTTCAGCAAAATGGAACGGTCTTCCTATTTTGCAATATTTGTGAGGAATTGCTATTTAAGACGTTGATCACCTAGCAAGGGAGCTGCATGACCTTACTTGTCCCTCATCAGGTTCATCGCCCGAATTGGTATTCTAGAAGCCCATAATGTGTTGCGATCAAGTCGCCCGTGGCGTTCCTAATTTCACTATGGCCAGATAATTTTCACTGTGCCTATTGGGGTAATGTGGGCATTCGAATTGCAACTGTTTCTTCGCATTGCAGATGTCTACACATTGTCCTAAACACGTTGAGAGTGATATACGAAGTATATTTCTTAGAAAACGAGCGAGCCCTGTTTCACGTGAGAGTTAAGCTGTGGCCACCGAATCGATTTGCTTATTCTGCCGGGAAGGGACTGTTTGACTACATGATCATGGACTCATTTGCATTACAAACTAACCTGTTTTTACTGTTTGCTACTATTTACCACTTCAATGCCCGTTTTGTTCCAGTTGGAGGAAAATACGCAATTGGAAGGGTTCGAATTTTAATTCTTTCATTATTTATAATTGAAACTGATTTTTTTTGGAATGCACACTTATACGAAAATGAGTTCCTGCTGCGATTGAGGCATTTTGGCTATTCATCAAACATTTTACTTCCTACTGCAAACGCTGTAAACATGCACTAAACATCCCCAATTAGACTACGTGTTGTTGCAAGAAAGAAGTTTTAAAAATTCGGCATCATCATAACGGTTCTCCCGTTACTTCTAATCGGCCATTCAACAGGATTTATAGTATTTTCGCCGAAAAGTGACTTAAATACGGCATCGCTTATTGTAGCGATGCTAATGAAGTTACAAGAGTCATCGGCCATTTTTGAAAAGATTGAGCCTGCCAGACATCCCGGTTAACTTCTCAACCTCCCCTCAGCTCTTCCCTTTCTTCGTCGACTCATTCATCTCATGCCCTTCATCCTCCGTCCAGGCTCGGCTGCCTATTGGCGCACCGACCGTGGACGTTCATCCTCGCCTCTGTCATCCTCTCGTTGTGCCTCACTTCGGGGATCGTTCACTGGCGAGAGGAGGACGAAGGAAGCGTGAACGCCTGGTTCGGCCCGGAGACTCCTATCTATCAAACTGATCAGTGGATCAAGAAAAACTTCCCGAACGGAGTTCGGTACGAAACAATTATCCTTTCTGGGCATAATATCCTCACTCCGGAATACTTCAAATATGTGAGACCATGACGCAACTCTTTAAATCCGTTTTCAACTTTCAAAATATGGGATTAAGTCCTCATTCTTTGGATTTTCTTGCAGATGGGGGCTCTGCACAAGAAAATTCGATCCTTGGTATCCAATGGATATGCCTGGAAGGATGTCTGTGCAAGGTACAGTGCTCCATCAAAAACATATTCTATAAATCAGGGGTGGCCGAACTTGATGACCTTACGAGCTGCATAACAAAATCTTCAATGGATTGAGAGCCGCAATACAGACACTAACCTAAATTTGCATTCTATAAGGTCCAGACTCTAATTTTCCAAAAAAGATACGCTTCCTGTGGGAATTAAGTGAAACTAGTTGCCATCCCTTTTCTTCGTTTTTCGTCCTTGATTAATTTGCTAAATCTTGCAATGCAGCATTATACATATCGTTGTAAAATTTAGACACCTGTTTAGGCAGTTTTAATGTCAAAGGTGTCTGCATGTTAGGCCTATCACCTTTTCAAGCTTCTTGAATCTACAGATTTGCATGCGAGTACAGTTCAATCAAGGAATTAGACAAATTCATATCCGAGTGAATGCATCCAATGGATATGCCTGAAAGGACGTCTATGCGAGGTACAGTGCGCTATCAGAAACAAGTAGTGTACTATGAATGATATTTAAATAAAAAAAAGTCAAACGTATTTTGCTAGTGACTGGGAGAAATATCGACGATGCCATGATAGTGAAGTCGAATGGTTGCCTGATTGTTGCATGTACTTACACAGATGAATGTTATTTGATGACTCACGCAGGCCAGAGGAATTCTTAGTGGGACACAAAAAGGAGGAAAGAAGACGAAGAGATACCGAAGCTCAAAGTCTTTGGTATGCAGAGGACCGACGATTCGACCCAATCCGTGGTATGCATTTTGATATACGAGTTATATTGCTGCTGTAAAAGCCACGTCGACAAAGGAAAAATAATGAATGCTTTCGCCATATATTTCTGCTATGT